TGTAAATTTTCAAATCAGCAAAACCCGCTAAAAGCTAAAATAAGCAAAACAGTAGCTAAAAGATCAAATTAACTAAACCACAGCTAAAACCTAAAAAATAAAAGCAGCTACACTTAGCAAACACGCTAAAATTCACAAAAAAACGGTAAAGGCTGAAATGACAAGAAACATAGATGAAAGCTAAAATTAGCAARACGGTAGCAAAAAGCTTACAGAAGCGTAAGAAGACAAAATACAGGAAATATGCAGAAGCACATTTTAAACAAATGAGGTCTCATATTTTGAAGTGGAGAAAACTTAATTACTCAAAAAGTACAAAAGTTACAAATACTGAAAGACGTAGCACACTGCTACAGATCAAGCTGAACATTTTTGATTTATGGTTGAAATAACAGAAACGATGCAGAAGTAGTTTCACTGCAAAAAAAAAYATCTGGAAGAAACTGGAAAACTATAGTGTGGATGCTGACTCAGCATTCTCACCATGAGGGTGCTTTAACGCATAAGCTATGAAGTGGTCTTAAAAAATAAGACATTTTAGAGCTTCAGCTGTGTTTATAGGGTGAAATATAATAGCTTATTTTATTTTATTTTTTATTGGAGCCTGAGTTTAAACTAGTGTGGACTTCTACAGGAAAATGCACGAAGAGACAGAAGGACGGCCCCACACTGAGWCGTGTGCCAAAAGGTTATCCACCCTGGTCTGGAGAGTGTGGGCTGATGGGACGCCGGTTGTTAGGAGTGGGAGGAAGAGCAATGCCACGGAGGCCCTCGAGGGGCCAGGAGTTGTGGAGAGACAGAGTACCAGACTGACACAGAWCAAACATAAGGAAGGAGCGCATTTGCTTATAAACTCCATTACATAAGCAATATGTTGAGAAGTCAGAGACAATATATCCRGCGTCTTCGGTAAAGTCAGGTTAGTGTTTAAAAAGGGAGCATCTGTTCATGTGGGCTAAAAGCAGGCAGGGGGTAGAAGGTCAAAAGGTGTCTTTGGCCCAATAACAAAAGCAAGAGTCGGTCTTTCAAAAAAAAAAATCTAAATTTATAAATCTTCAGCTTTACAGCAGAGTAAAAATGGCTGGGAGGGCTTCTGGACTGAGCGCCAGCCAAGTGCAGGTCACCGTTTTCAGYCATTCCTTTGAGACACGAGAGCACACTTGCGTGCTCGCGGATGTCTGGAGGCTCGAGCTGGCACACGAGCGAGCATGTGCTGGAGCACGGAGCAGACTGGAGCCGCTCCGTGTTTACAGACGGAAGGAAAAAACGAGCCGAGAGGCGTCAACGTTGGCCCCGGTGACRGCGAAAGACTTTTYACAAACATCTTTTCAGGGAGCTGCGGGATGACGTGGAGCRCAGAGGAGCAAAAAGGAGAGCAGGTGGTGCCACCTGAAAGAAGTTTCAGGAGTAACTGCTACATTTATCTTGTTGAGAGGAGAAGAAAATAAACTCAAGCTGTTTATTTATTCAGAATATTCAGCTGGTAGGAAGAAAAGAGCCTCTTCACGTGAAGCTAAAGCTCTTCTTGACTTTCACAAGCTTTGTTCTGATTGTTTCCATCATGGTCATGAACAGATGAAGTTTATCTGGTCTCAACAGCAGCTAATTAACTCTCAAGGTAAAAAAAGAATGAAAATTAGAAATCATGCAGTGCTAGGGTCAGCTTTAGAACAGCTACTGGGAAGTGAAGCAAAGAAAAAGAGATCAGGTATGACAAATAAAACATAGAAGGCTACATTCACACTGTGGGTTTGCTCAGATCTGAAGCTTGTCAGCATCTGATTTTATAAATTATAGTTTACTTGCAAAAAAGCACAATGCAAATGCAAACCGCACCAAATGGGGGGGAAAAAAGTCCAGTTTTGGTCCGAACCAAACAAAATTCTTGGTGTGAATACACCCTAAGCGTGCTGAGTTCCAAGTGTTAAATTGCTTGAATTTGGAATTGATTAGGGGTGTAACACAGCTGGTAAAAACCAACCMCTTGTTCTAYGCTTTGCTCCATAYASAGCAGGGGTTCTCAATCGTTGCACCCCTACAAAAAAGATACAAAAAAAGAGAAATGTCCATGCCCTTTTTAACTTGTAATTTATTTAAATTAATTATGACCATTTGTGTAACCTCACAGTCTTTTTTAATTAAATGTTGCTGAAACAGCAAGTTTCTCAGTAGATCTGCGCTCAACAATGCAGCCT